TTCATTGGAACCATTAGTTATATTTTTTTATGTTGTTTTCTAATTTTTCAACTTTAGTTTTTTTGTTTGTGGGGAAGCTTACGCCTCAAAACGTTTTGAGGCTTACGCCTCACCTCATGACAAAAAAAGGCCTTAGTACCCGTTTACGTTTTTTCAAACTATGGCATTTACTATAACGTTTCTTGTCGTATTCATCCTTAAACTTCATTCCCACCTCAGGCACCATTGTACCCCCTCCTCCTAACATTTCCTCATCCGATAACTTCATATTGTCGATAACATTGTCGTTATCCAAATCCACAAATGTAAAGTCATCCTCAACTTCCAAAATCTCTTTCCCTGCGACAAATGAGAACATTGACACAGAATTATAAAGAAAATGAGAGCAATCACACGAAATTACAATCTTTTTTATTAGTATAAATATGGGCAAATCGATTCCAATTAATTCTCAAAAAGCTGAAAATAAGTTCCATCTCGCTGGTATATACATTTCGGCTCCTATTCCACTAGAAGGTTGTTCCCCAATAGTAAAAATTGAGTAAATGGTTTCCGTTACTTTTCAAAATTAGAAAATGACATTTCGACTACTGGAACTCAATTTAAAATTCAACAGTCGGAACTCACCTTTTCCGTCTCCCCTCCACTGTTATAGAGTGTTTACCTTTTCTCTGCCCGATGTCAGAACTCATATAGTTGGGTCGAACAATATGGGTTCAAATTTGGGCTACAGGGTTAAAGAAATTTTCGGCAAAAGTAGTGGAAGTGTAGTTGAAGAAGAGTGAAGGAATTTTCAGTAAAAGGAGCGACAGTGTAGTTGAAAGAGGTTTTGAAATGGCGCCTAAATGAATTGTAAATGGGCCAACCTGGTAATGACCATTTTCTGTTTCTTTTCATTTTTTCCTTTATTCCCTATTTCCACGTCATTTTGTCCTCCACCATGTCAACTGTTATGTTACATTAGCATTATTCAAAAAATTATCACTTTAATGGACAATTTTCATAAAAAATGAAGCCAAATAGAACCAAACTTTCAACATTTTTTAGGTGAAAAATTATACAAATCAAACAGAATTAATTACAATTTCCAATAAAATAATTTCTAAACAATTCAATTCTCTGTAAAACATTTTATTTCAACCCATTTTCCACATTTGCAATCAAACGGACCATAAGTTCAAAAGTAAATATTCTATCATGCTTATGAAATTACGCTTATCATTTTAATGTAGATTGTAGTTAGACATGTCCTCATAGACTTTCATTTCTCTATATTAAGTAAGTTTTGTATACATAAGACGTGATTTTGGGCCTTGGACGAACCTATGAGGTGGAATTTTAATCATCTAGATTGCAGAATAGTATCCATAATATTGATGCTCTAAAAATAGAACTTGGGATATTATTTTTTTTTTACTTTTTGCTTTGCTATTTGGGGCTTTTTGTTTATCAATTGTAGCATCCGGCTAATTGAGATTTGGTATATTATTTCCAACAGATTTAATATCAAGACTTGCTTTTAATTTTTCATTGCTTCTTAGAATCTTAAATATTAAGTCTTCTCTTATTTTTAATTAGTTAATTTTCTTATGCACCTTATTTCTTCTAAATAATTATTAACGATAATGAATCTCTATGTACTATTCTATAAGTAAATTGCTGAAGATTCAAGATAAGTAACCATCACCTTCATGCGTACACTACCTCGTTAAATGTATAAATGGGTTACCTAAATTTGTTGTTATGTGAG